TAGAATTACAATTAAATACAACAAAAACAGGAATAGCAGACATCGAACGACTACATAAAACAATAAACGAAAAAATTAGAATAATCAATACCTTAAATGACGAAGAAAATAAACTCAGTAAAATAGAAACTATTCTCTACATCTACAATCACAAAACAAAACATGACACAACTGGACAAACTCCTGCACACATATTTCTATATGCTGGACAACCTAAATTAGACATTCAAGAAAAAAAAGAAAAAGTAATAAATAAAATCAACAATAACCGACAAGAATACGAAATCGATACCAGATATCGAAAAGGACCGTTACAAAAGGGCAAACTAGAAAATCCCTTTAAAGCCAATAAAAATGTTGAAAAATTAGATCCAGATCATTACCAAATTACTAACAGAAATAGAATTACACGTTACTATAAATCACAATTTAAAAAACAAAAGAAAATAAATCAAGTCAAAATAATTACATAATACTAATGATATCAACGTCCTATATCCCAATTTTAATCCACTAATATTATTCAAACTATGTCATACTCTCGATAATAATGGCTACAAACACATAAATAGTTAAGAATAAATTGAATAATGTTGTATTCAAAATATTAATAAGCTCATATATAAAACAACCACAATTAATAAGTGTATTAGAAACCAAATCATATCAAAATCACCAAAACTACCTTAAGTATCTTCTTGAGTCGCAGGCTTACCTCTTAAGGAGAGGGAAGTGACATATTCATACTGACAATGTCCACAATACATAGAATATTGAAAACTAGTTCATACTGGATTTTCTTATTTCACGAAAATCTAGAATAAAGCGAAAATAACCAAATCATAAATAGTGGCGCCGGCCTGACAAAATCCCGTTGCATTTTTTTGCTATTGCATAGGAATAATGTTGCGAGCCGAAATTCTTAGAACGACGCGTCCAACTGATCTTTGTCTGCTGCGTAATTTCAGCAGCCTATAAAAGAGCCTTTAACAAAAATTGTCTTTAGTCTTAAGCTATTGTTCAATAAAGCAAGTTGTCATAATCTAACTTTGACTTCGTCTTTTAATTTACATTAGCGTTGCTGTTAGCATATGTCGCGGCATTTATTCGACTGATAACATATATCTAATTATATATATATTAATTATATATGCATGTATTGATTAATTAAGCAAATTTTTATTTTCGTTCGACAATGCGGCTGTTATTTTTGTGGAATTCAAATCAAATCTTCAGCTCAGAGATAATGTCATACTCCAAATCTCTAAGTTTTGTAGCATGCAAGATAACTGCTTTCATATTACACCCAGACAGGATGACATGGCTATATCCTAAATTCTGAATGGTTCTAGGAACCACAAAGTGTACAAGATACTCTTAGGAAAGTGAAGTAGAATCGTTTTCAAATAGTAAGTTTTCAACTATCATGACATTATGAATATTTATATAAAATATATATGTATGAAATGGGATAAAATAATAATATGAATATTCTTTAAACGAAACTTTAACTGGGTATAGCATTTAGAGAATTTAAGAGCAGTTCAAATACCTTGAGGTTAAATGACAATACAAGGATAAGAAAAAATTTTAAATTTGCTTTATTTATTTAAGCGCAATCTAGTTAATTTCACTTTAGATAGTTATAATTTTCATCTAGCTTAGACTTAAGACTTACGCAGTTATATTAGCCTCTGTCTAGTCGTTACATGTTAAGCCCTTTTAAGAACAATTTTAAAAGGAGTTACAGGGTATAGAAAAATTACACTCACACATACACACTCTGATACATACATCTAGCACATAATCCATTGTTAATTTTACATTTGGTAACAGCTTCCGCTTGACAAGGCAAATCGTGCAGCGCAGTGTCAGAGCCGGAGCCAGATGTTGGCCATGCCGAAAAGTAGATGTAATGCACTTGGCCCCAGTCTCCGTGTGTATGTGTGTCTATTTGTAGGTGGCAGTGCATATGTGGGTGTGTGACATTTGACACATTTGCTGCGGAAATGTGGACAACATGTACAGACAGACTGCGTACGAAAGGGTGCGAGTGTGAGTCTGTGTCTGTGTGTGTGTGTGTGTGTTGATGCTCGTTTGTTAGCAGCAGCCGCAAATTTCTATTTGATGTGAAGTCTCTGCGGTCTTGGCCACAATTTTCGGTTATGCCCAAAATGCCGAGAACACAGCCAGGTCCGCAGTTTAAACTCTTTGTGTGTGACTTTTTGCCATACAGTTATTCAGTTATTCAGCCTTTAGCCTTTAACCTTCGGTTCGGACTGGCCAATAACAATTGATTGTCTATTGATGACTTGGTCTATTGTTTCGACTTGATAGACGCAAGGGGCAGGGGACACAAAATAAAACCGAACATAAATGCAGCAATTAATAAAATAACAACTTTTGCGTATAATTAATTGTATATTATGGCTTGGTTTGTTAATGGCAGGATATGCATCAATCTACACACGCACACACACACACATATATAACATACTTTGCTTATCGGTCCAAAAACTACGGGCTGCTAAGGCCTACAGTAAAATATTACAGCAAGCACAATGTCGCCTGCTGTTTCACAGTTGCACCGGATGCTATTTTGCTAGGTCTTGTAATTTCTATACTCGTTCAGGCAGTGAGAAAACCATATTGGTTTTGTGCAATTGACGTTACAGATTTGAAATATACAGCTGAAAATATATTTGTAGCAGGTATGAAGTATACACTCATATAATGCTGAAGACTTGGAATTTGTGTAAACATTGCTGTATAAATAGAAAGTGCTTAGGACATTTCATATTTCAGACCATGAGCGAGTATTATCCGGACACTCGTACCCGATTACAATACTGTGACTTGCTGTTGTTGTGGTCATGCGCACCAATGGGCAAATGAACAATTTATAACCGCTTAATTGAACTCATTTAGAACGAGCCAGAACCACACACACGGACCGACCACCACCACACACAGACACACACAAGCATACGCACTTGGTCAGGGCTAAGCAAATGGGCCGCACCAGCAGCTAAAATAGAAGACAAAGCAAGCGACATGACAACAGGATAGATGAGTTGTCTTAGCCTAGTCCAACGACATGTCTCTATAAAATCAATGACAATCCAGCAACATAAACAATTGCTTCTGCAGAATATCATGGCCGGGCAAGTGCAGCTCGCCAGGCAAACAATTTAATAATCACTTGGTTTATTGATATTTGGGCTTAAGTAAAGTGAGCACTCTACAAGCGCACATCAACAGTTAAAATTCACTTTTTTTCTTAAAATCTATTAAAATATATTTTTACAATTTTTTTTATTTCACAGTCAAAAATCGATGCTTTATAGGATATATAGCATTCTATTTTGCTTTTAGTTTTTATTAATTTGTTCATCCATTTGTGGAATTGTTCATCAAAATTTGATTTTTATTGTTCAAAAATTGTTGGAAATTTTAACTTTATATCAACCGCATCAAAACAATGAACTGTATCTATATAATTCTGCCGTTTGGCCTGCCTCTCGGTGCGCTTGGCTTTATCTGATAGAAATATGCTCGAATTTCAACTATCTAGCTTTAATTAAAGCTTAAAAGTAGATTATATGCAGACAGATTGCATCATACATTTTTAAGCCATAAAATACATATTGTATTTATTTAATACTCGTTTATACTTTCACAAAAGAGATTTTGTTCACAATAAACCTGTCGTTCCATAGCGTTTCCACTGTAGTTCAAACTTAGGCTTTTAAGATGCATATTATAGGCATGCATGGCTAAACAAATTGAGAGTTTTCCCTTTTACTTCAATTAGAGCTCAACTGTTGGCTAATTAAATCTAGCATCTGAAAGTTGCTTTGCGCCCACCCATGCCAGAACCCAATTCCCATCCCACAATCTGCAATCCTCTTTTGCCTGCACAGCTTTTAGATTGAAGTGCGTATTTAGCGTCAAGTGGCATGTCAAACGCAAAGATTTATTCACACAGCGCAGTATATCACCTCGAGTAAATTAGGTAAGTAACTGCCATCCAAGGAAGATATGCATGAAAAGAGTCCCTCGATCCTATGTGGGACTGTGGACCATGGCAACGGACGAAACCTCAAAAGCGGAAATCACACAAAAGATACCGCACTTTTCCGAAATCAGCGCAACAGAAAGAACGAGGGCAAGCAAGAGCATCTACTTGTTCATATTCTATGAATGGAATCACTTAAGAACGTTAGCTTTGCCAGCTATTCCGCGTAATACCCACCAGGTGGGGACAAAAACAAACAACCCAAACTCATCCTTCAGCAAAGCGGATTGAAATATTTCATTCTCAACACATTTCCAAGTGGGCCGAGTCGTGTATCTGGACAAGACACTAACATCCATTCTTTCCATTAATTGTTTTCTTAATATCTATGGGCATTATTCTATTGTATAATATTGATACTAAATACATTAAACGAACTAACAAAATTCTACAATAACACAATTGCAGGTTTGACAACACTAAATTAGTTATAGCAACAATTATTTTAAACAACGTCAACTATGTCATTAGAAAGTCAACTCATACAATGTTAACTACAATAGCTCGTAATTATACAAAACCACAAATATTTAAACACAAATAAATTTGAATGGTAAAACTTTTTTAAAACAAAGCATATTTTTTCAAATATTCCAATAGCGAGCTAATTGGTACAACACGTCTGTGCGATAACAGCCAGTATATATCGAAACCTCTGTCAGCAACATATCGATATTCTCATAGCCCGATAAGAAATTCAACTGGTTAGGGAACGCTAAGTGGGTAGACGATACGATACTTTTTCATGCAGATTTATTAACATCGAAAGCAATTACAATTTCAAAGCAACACGACATCAATATTAACATAAAAAAAACTATAGTATCATGTAACTTAAGCTGAATCAAAGTTCAAAGGTTGAATTTTTCCCTTACTCATTGGGCAGGTAAATCTCAATAACTAACCTACGGTCACACTGCGGACAGCTGTTTTAATTGTTTTGTTTACATTTTAATGGAACGCAGTTAGCGTTTCAGCACATTTCAGTGCATTTGACAAACAATTGGTTCTCGATTATTTCTCCACTTTGAGTCCAAGGTTGTCAGAGAACTGGCTATAAACATTTATTCAACACGCAGCTGTAGCTAAGCAACAACTGCTTTCTCAAATCGTTATTTAAATGTAAGTACGTCAAAGTCCGACAGCATCAAGTGGAAATCAGATTTAATCAGTTTTTTGATTGACCCGCGCATAGATAGGGCACAACAAATTATTGTGGTATGCTAGTAAATTTAGCAATTAACATTTTGTGTGTGTGGCCCTAATAAAGTTTAAATTGAGAAATGAAAAAAATCACTGCATTAGATAAGATTAAAGGCCAATCATCGGCCTTGGGACTACATTAGTTTTGGCTCCACATAACAATGAGCGACTAATACTTAATTGTCATTAATCCATTCAACATTGTTTATACAGATCACATAATGGGAATACAGAGCAAACTGCTGGATCCGTTGTGCGTCACCTGCCAAGAGTTCCAGCATCCCTGGACGGATAAGTGCGTCAATGCCACTGCAGGCATCCTCTTATCGGCTACGCCCTACTGCTTACGTGTTTACACAATTGTATATGCCTTTTCGCTACTTATGCGCCACCGTGTGCCAACTTTGGTGGATTTAAAGCGCACTCTGCTGGGTATTATCCAATCAACCGCCTTTCTGGTCACCAATGCGTACACCTTTGTCCTCTTCAATTGCCTGCTGCGCAATCTGCTGGGCCGCTACTATTTCAGCACTGTAGCTTTTGTGCCCTCGTTTCTGTCGTCACTGACAGCTATTCTGGTCGAGCGCCCGGCCCGTCGTCCACTGCTGACGCTGTACGTGGCGAATGTGGCCACCGAAGCACTCTGGAAGATGGCAGAGGCTCGTAACTGGGTGCGCTCCGTACCACATGGCCAGACATTCATCTTCGCTTGCAGCATGTCTATACTTCTGTATCTGTATCGTTTGAACGCCAACGACGATTCCATCTTTAATATTTTACGCATCTTTGTGGGAAAAGAGGAAGCCGGACCGGTGGTAAAACCCGAGCCTTTGGTGCCAGGCGAGCAGCCAGCGCCTTCTCAACGACGCCCCAGCGTCAGCTTTGCCACCACCGCTGATTGGGTGCGCGTCTACAGCAATCTGGTATATGCTAAGCATGAAAGCTGTGTCCATAAACAAAGCTGCTCCAGCTATGCCATATTAGGTGGTATTCGTCCCTTTGTAGGCGGAGTGACTCTACAAGTGGCATTAAAGCTGGTGATGAATGTAAAAAACATATTCCGAGGTGGCATGCCGTGGCGTAAGCAAATCTTCAATCGAAGCACCTTACGGCTTGGCGCCTTTATGGGCACCTTCTCGTTTCTATACAAGGTACAAGATTGGAGATATAATTATTATATTATTATTCACATACTGACCTTGGTTCTTCCAGTCCATCTCCTGCCTTTTGCGCCACTGCTACAATCGGGATGAAGCACTGTTTGCCGTACCCGCTGGCTTAGTGGCCTCACTGGCATTCACACAGTACCCAGATAATACAGTCGCCTTGTACGTCATGTGGAAGGCTATCCAAGTAAGTTACACTTTGGAACTGGACTTAACGTCAATTGCTTACTCAACAATAATTATCATTTGTTTTTTAGATTCTCAGCAGCATGGGCCAAGACCGAGGCATTCTTCCACGCATTCCCAATTTTATGCTCTATACTTACGCATTCTTCACAGCTGTGCTCTTCCATGCGGGCATTATGGAAGCACAATCACTGCGACCCAATTACTACAAATTTTTGCAGGCCATATCAGGCGAAAGGCAAGTTCTGACTTATGAATCACACCACATATCTTTTCTTATATATCTTTTATGACAGGCTCAACAAATTTAATTTGAGTGCTTTTGATATCTTTGGCTTGAATACTCAGCGGCAAACAAATGAAATGCTGAAGAGCCTGAAAATTGTAGACAAGAAGACACTGCCAGCATTTGCATTCGCCTCCTGAGTGAAGTCACGTTTCAAGTAGAACTAAGTCGTGGCGACCCAACGTTTACTACAAGAAGTCTCAGCACTTTAAGTGCCCGCTCTCAACGTTCGATAAGTCTCTCCAAATGATATTTTAATATTTTATATGAATATGTATATGTTAGTAAGTAAGTCGGCTGATTACACTATATACCGCTCTTTATGGGCGTGCTGGTATATAGTGTCAATAGGCCTGGTGGTCACACAAACTATGTGTAGTTAGTACGGGGTGTATTGACAAATAATTAACTAATTTTTTCTGTTGCTAGCAGCTCTTAATAAAGCCAACAAATGCATATTGACTTACAACTCTTTTTATGTAGAGGGTATTATCGCCAAGTCATAAAGATAATAATTTATATTTATATACTTTATGAAGTAGATATATTAATTTATTTATATGTCTCTTTTGCTTTATAAATTACTCTTCTGTAGTTTCGTTTTTCTTATTTAGCACCTTGTTTCTTACCTTTTCTTGTTCTGCTGTGTTCATTTCGCTTTTTATTTTGCCACTTTTCCTTTCTTTTTCACATTTATTCTCTTCTCTCTCGAAGAGCAACGGAACGAATAAAAATATGTCGCGAAAAAGTACTAGCACCATATGTGTCTAGGGTATTTAAGGTTTTCTTTGAGCCAGTTAAACGTTCTATTTATGTTTAAGAGCGCCGCAATGAGTATAAATAATTGATAAAATGTCACAATGTCGGGGCTGATAAGAGCTTCGCTCTTAGCGGCCAATCGTTTGTTTAACTCTATCTGATAAGCGCCAATATGAAATGTTCCGAAATGAGTACTGTTTAATAGTTGGCCGGCGTACACACAGTCATAATTGAATCGCGCAGCTGTCTAGACTAAACTAGATATCTAACTTGTTCGACGGGTAGTGAAAGTTGATTTGGGACCCATTTTAACATATATTTAAATATTTGTTTATAAAGAGAAATTTCGATTGGCATTCGAACTTTGTACGTGGCTTGTGTGATATTTCTTAATCTTATCAATTGTACGATAATCACAATAATTCGAACAAATCTAAATCGAAACACCTGTTCTACCTACACATACATACACAGAAATTATGGCCGCGCAGAGTAAGCTGATCGATGGAGCCATCAAATGCAGCTGCCAAGAGTATATGCATCCGTGGACCGCTAGCTGTGTCAGCGGTGGTGCCGGCATTCTGTTAGCGTGCACGCCCGCCTCGATGCGCACCTACAGCGTCGTCTACCTGGCAAGTCCTAGTAAGCCTTGCATACTTTTGCGCAAACACTGATTTTGCTATTTTCCCCTTTCTTTTCTGTTTCTTGTTTTCCCCGTCCTTCTCTTTGTCCTACTTCTATATTTATATTTATAATTTGAAGCTTGCGCTAGTGATGAAAATGCGTATACCTCGACTTTTGGACATTAAGCGCACGATCATTGGCATATTAACATCATCGGCCTTTCTGACAACCAATGCGTATCTCTTCTCCCTGATGGTGTGCGTCGTGCGTCGCCTAGTGGGCGGCTTCTATATGAGCACTGTGGCCTTTATACCTACCTTCATTGCCAGCATTGCGGCTCTCTGCATTGAACGACCGGCGCGACGTACTCCACTTGCACTGTATGTGGCCAACGAGGGCACCGAGGCACTCTGGAATATGCTGGAGTCCCGAGGCCTAGTCCGCTCCATACCCAACGGACACGTCTTAATACTGGGCTGCAGCCTAACAGCTTTGCTCTATATGTACCGTAGAGGCGTGCACAAGAGCAAAGTGAAAGACGTCACCTTTAAGGCTCTCTCAATACTCATGGCAAAGGGTGAAGAGGGTCCCATTAAAGCATCCGAGGCGCCCACAACACAAACCTCTTGTCTACATCCGTTCAACTTCGGCAGCATAGCGGCCTATGTCCAGCTGTATGATCGTCTACGTAACAGCAAGCATCCCAGTTGTTCGCATCGTGAAGGTTGCGGCACCTACGCCATAGTAGGCGGCCTTAAGCCGTTTCTGGGTGGAGTTGGACTGCAAGTGGGGCTTAAGCTGCTGCTGAACATAGGCCGGATAGTCAAACTAAAGATGGACTGGCGTAAACAGATCTTCAACAAGAACTCACTGCAACTAGGCCTTGCTTTGGGCAGCTTCTCCCTGATATTTAAGGTAGATTGACTAAGTACAGCACAAATCAATTTCTATTTTTATTTTACCTTGAACCCATTGGGACTAGTGTTCGTTAAAATGTATGTCACATGGCAGATGGTCGCGTCAGCTGCTACTTTAGCTTTGTATTTGCCATTTCGTAAGTAGTAAACATACTACTTGATTGTGATTTTTCTCAGACTTAACCTTTTTATAGCCTGATCCCATGGAAAATGGGAAATCAGGGTATAATGGTTTTGTGCAAATGTCTGTAACAGTCAAAAGGAGGCGTGGCATACCCCATAATGTGTTTATATTCTTGATCAGGACGACAAGCCGAGTCGATTGAGCCCTGTCCGTCTGACTGTCTATCCGTCTGTCCGTATGTGTGAACGCGTGGAACTCAGCATCTATAAGAGCTAGAGATTTGACATTTTTTTTGTAGGTCCGTGTATAGCACGCGCAGGTCAAGTTTGTTTCAAATATTCGATAACTATTCGCATTTAATTGTTATCGAATAAAAACATGATTGAAATGCAGTAAATAAATTATATCTCGAACGTCTTAAGAGCTAGAGCCTCCAAATTTTGTATTTAGTTTTATGTATATTTTATGCAATTTAATTTTTGTTGGATTTTGGATACTGGCTCCAAATTTCCCCAAATTCTTAAAATTTAAGTTTAGTTGAAACTAGGGTCATTATGTGAAGGCGTTTGCATCTCAGCCAAGCCAATAGAATATGTAGATCATATGCTGAATATTTCATTAAACTCCATTAAGTAAAACAGAAGTTATTAAACAAAACGTTTGGCCAATTTACAAAAGCACATGTCAGTAGCGCCACGCGCACGCATTTTTCCTATACGTGTGCACACATTCATACAAATGCGTGTATTCTTGAATATTCGAAGAATCGAAATTACGATTGAATTGTGCTGAATTATTAGCTGCTACTTAACTTCAAATTTGCAACTGCTCGTTGGTAGAGGCTGCGGTCGTATATAGGTAGTCTCAAGTTTCGGTGGAGATGAAATATTTTTTATTGTTTCATTTTTATTCTTTTTTTTTAATTATGAAGTGGCGTTGTTGGTAGAGTTGGTGCAGGTTGCGTAAACAATCCGGGCTCGAATCCTGGTCTCGTAATGTCGTTTTTTTACTTGTTTTTTTTTTTTTTTTTTAAATACTCGATACAAACTACGGAAAATATTAAAAAACTCAAAGAGGACTGAGATCAGGGTATCTCCTAGTCGGGCACCCCGACCAGAGCTTTCTTACTTGTTATTACTCATGATTTATATTATACATTTCTTCTGTAAAATATTTATTTTGTAAAATTATGTCTTATTTATTAATATATTTTTATTCTATTTATATTTTATACTGCTTTGGTAGGCTGTTTCTTGTGGTCTGCGAATTACTTGTGGGCGTGACGATGCCTGCTTTGCCATACCCGCTGGCCTGTTGGGATCGATTGGGCTGCTGCAGTTCCCTAACATCACGATCTCACTGTATGTGATGTGGAAGACACTGCAAATGCTCTACAACTGGGGCAGCGAGGAAGATCTACTGCCCAAGGTACCACACTTCAATATGTTATTATATGCAACCTTCACAGCTGTGCTCTTCCACTCCGCTATTCTGGAGGCAAGCTCGATACGCAACAGCTACTACAAATTTCTAGAGAATGTTTCCGGCAAAAGGTGCGTGTTTGTTGGCCTAAATAGGTCTATATAGTCTAGAAATATGCACACTAATTTTTGTTAAATTTCGTTTTCACAGAATAAATCTTTTTGATAGGCGCCCGTTCGAGTCATTAGGGCTGAAAAGCCATGCTCAACTACAAGAAGTCATCAAACGACTCAAAATAGATATGACGAACCCTTTGCCCATAATGCCTCTGACCGTTTAACAATAGCAGAATAATCTTAAGCACAAATTATTTTTAGCTATATACATATGAATTAATTGGTCCGTAATGATTGACTGACTGATTGATTGATAAGTCGCCAGGAAATTTGCAAAGAAGTTACGATATAAGTTGAGATTAATTTACGATGAAAGCTTGCATAAAAACGATTTTGTTATTATAACGATTTTCATTAATTAATTTACTAACTTACACCTTACTTATATTTACATTTGTTTATTAATGAATAATGCCCACATTTTTTATAATAATAGCTTTAAAGCTTAATGAATGTTTATTCGTGCAAATAAATCAACATTTACACAAGTTGAACTTAATTAATGTTGGGTAAAGCTAGAAGAAAAAAGATTTAAAGAAGAACCTAGTTATAGGAAGGTTTTTTGCATGAGTTTTGAAAGTGGATTGTCATGTGCTGCCATGTTATGGAAGCAAGTCACGCAATGCATCAATAGTTGAATAACCAAGGCACAATTTAATCTAGATCAATTGTCATATTTTCCTGTAATTTTTTCTCTTTTAACCTTCCTTTCTTCATACTTCCTTTTCCCTTCTCATCCCTGCTCTACATTCTGTTCTGCAGTCTCTTCTCTTCTTCCCTGCCAAGAACTGAAATAGGTAAAAGGCAGCCTTTTCCCGTCTTCAAAGAGGAATGAAAAAATTACAAATATTCTGAAGTAATTTTTAGTAAAAACTGTTTTCGTAACATTTCTAATCCTTTTTTATAATTATTCCACAATTCAAATATTTCTTGTGAACTTCAAGGCATTGCTAAGTATTCCATAATAAGCCCCACATATCTAAGCCTATCTCAAGCCACAAATTTTCTTTCCGTGAATAAATATAATTGTTAGAGCAAAGTGATATAATTTGCAAGCATAAAGTGTCGACGGCGCCTCGACAATAAAAAGTTGCAAAAAGTTTTGAAATTAAATGTTTGTGTATGCCCAAAGTGCTCATAAAGTGGGCTGAACATTCATCACACGGTTAAGGACAGGCCTCATTCTTGGGAAAATGTAAAATGGTAATGGGAGACAAAGGCAAGCGGAACTCTCCAGCTTGCGGAACAACTCTGGATGAGAAGTGGCGGCTGAGCTGTGCTACTCAATTATTTACATTTATATGTCATAGAAATTTATTGCCCGCCATAATTCACTCGGCTAGCCGAAAGTGCAGTGTTTAAAATTTACTAAAAATAAAATGGAAGTCAGAATGAAAATGTAAATAAAATAAAATAAAATAAACGCAGCCTTCGGGCCTTCTTATCCTAACAGGGTGCGTGCGGGCTTAACAAATGAATTATTGGCCGGGTCAAATTTAATGGTCCCCTTCGTAATGCTCCTCCCACCCCCACAACATAATCCAGCAGGCTCATCTTCAGTGAGTCGTCAAATTGCTGACATCCTTGTTGTCTATTTCACATTGAGATGCAAGAAGATAGCATACTTTTCAGAGCATGCATATAACAAATAAACATAGCATACTTGTTAGGGCCTGCAATTGCAGCCTCTTAGTATTTATGAAATTTATATGTCACTTGCTTGAGGACCAGGCGCAACATAGAGACAAGTCAACAGCTTGGAAAATACAAATGAACCAAGTGACAAATCGCATTAATCACAACTAAGATTTTATTTTGCAATGAAGGCAGATGAACAACGTATATACTTATACATATAAAAAATGTATGTATGTATATGTATGTGTGTGTGTGTGTGTGTTTGTGTCACTGAAATTATCAACTTAGCAGCTGCAATTGTTGTTGTCATTGTAACTTGTCTCAGTTTTCAACGTTTCATCGTTGCTGGCGCCTAGAAACAGAGAAAAGAAAAAAAAGCATATAAATTGAATATTATAAATTGTCTCATTCCAACTTCTGTTCAGCTCCTACTTAATGCTGCGTTTAGTCGCCTCTTCTTGGGGCGTCTTGTTGCAAAAAGTCGTAACTTCATTTGTGTCAATCACAATGCTCTGCCTCGCTAGTTCTTGTTGCGCTCGACCCAAATTGTAAACAACTAAATTATGCAAATAAATTAGCTTGTCCTAGTTCGCTTACCATGTACCGAGCAACCGACAAACAGCAGGAGACCATAGAAAAAATAAATGCCTGAGGTTTCGATATAAATAGTAAACAATTAAGAAAAACTACTCTTATATTTTTAATTAAAAATCTTTAATAAAATAAATGCTAAGTTATATGCAATTCTAATCCATTGCTGAGAAACTTTTATTCATACTTATTTAATTCCTTCAGTTGCTGTATTCTTTTAATCTTAACTTAGCCTTGGTGTAGCAACACACAGATAGATCGATGACAGCTTAAGTGTAGACTGTCTGGACCTTCATCAATCAAACGGGCAACGATTTTGGTTTCAACAATTTCTGTGTTAAGAATATTTCACAAAATTACAAGCAAACTTTATAAGTGTATTGTACACAAATTCTTTAGCTGCAGCTTACGTCAGACTTTTAGTTCATAGAAAAGCATATCTAGCATATATATCAAGCTAAAACTGCACATTTAAAAAGAAATTTCAAATTGAACTTTCATGCAAATGAAGTTCCTCCTGTCAAATAAAAAACAAATTGAAAAATAAAACAGGTAAATAACAACAAGAAGAGACGTTGCACCTATGTCTGCAGGTCCTTTTTGCAGTTGCTGTAAATTACATTTGATATTTTTACGAAGACAGGCCAAATGACAAGGTGTGTCAACGCAAGATAAGCACTAAGTGAGACCCAGGCGAAAGCAACCGATGATGCTTGCTCCTGCTAGCCGGGAAATGGGTGAGTAGTGATAGTGTCCTTGTCTATTACAAAAGCTGATACAAATTTTCTTCACTTTTCTTACTTTTTTGTGTTGCTTACCACTGAGTTGAGTATTTTTTAATTAAAATTTCTTGGTCACTCTTTGAGATGTTTCCCAGTGATAAGAAAATTGAAATTAAATTGAACGAAGAAAAGTCTATGCAATATAAAACAAAATACGTTTTCGTAACGGTTTCCCGCTACGTGAATGTGCATAAAAATATTTACAAAAAAAATGTAATGACTTAAAAAAACAACTAGAGGATAAAAAACATCTCCTGTAAAACACTTAAGCTTTACAATAAAATGCAATCGGGTAATTAAATCAATTAATTAAAACTCTCCTTTCAACAATACTTATAAAAGTTTCCGTTTTCCATCAGTTGGCAAACTATCACTTTAGCCAACTTATAAAGAGATAAGCAAACATATTACTACAACCCCATAACTTCCAGACTAAATTGTTCACAAGACACTTTAAGAAACCCAGTCACACATTACTGGCATATAATATGCTCTCGGTCGTAAGCATTTTATAAAGACTAATGGGGCTATTTACACTCTCTACTCTTTACGAGTACCTATAAATATCAGTAATATACTAAATAAGAACATACTATAAATAAAGTACTCTTGAAAAGTAAGTAATAATATTGTTAATCAAATGGCATTTTCGCAATAAATTCGGATGGATTGGCAGTTTTTCCTATCTTATGTAGCTGCTTCTGAAAGTAACCATGACCAGATGACATAAAAAGACGTCTGGCCGTGCCTTTTATCTTCCCACTGCTCTAGATCGAGTATAATTGTCGCTCTCCATACTGTCCCTCTATCTTGACTATTTTGCATTCCTAGGGGCTACAGTCTGTTGTAGCAGGTTCTTTGCTAGCTGGTTCCGTATCTTGTCACGCTCTTGTGTTCGTGTGTCGCTATCACCGAAATAACAGCTTCAGACAATTTGCATTACGCCAAAGTCGAAGATTCCGCCTTCATAGAATTACTTTTGGGTAGAGAATAGTATTGAAAGTGTCCCCCAAAGGTAAGTTTACTGATTAGTCTGACCCGTAGATAGCTCACTGTCCTTTGAGCCCTAGCAGTCCTACCTCCTTTGGACCCTGATTACCCAAAAAGCAAGAGGGTAGCTAATCAACATTTGTGTGCAGATCATGTGTCATCTTCAGACATTTTCATTTCTATAATATAATCGCACGCCCTAACCGTACCCATTAAATATTCACGTATACGGAAAAGCTGCTTCAAAGAAGCCAACAAGTCGGTCACCTAATGTCATCAAAAGGGCGTTTGACATCAAGAGTTAGTTGTAGAACCACCAAACTTGAGTATGCAAACGCCCATGTCTTAGACTAAGTCCTCCAGAGTCCTCTACTACAACGGCAGTCTGGAGTTTATTACCTTTTCGAGTAGCTTTCCAGTCGTGTTTGGCTTGCACAGTGGGCGGTAAGCCGATGGTGTGTTACGGTTGCCTTTGCCTATGATGATCCCTTCCACGCTTCAGAAAATAACCTTTCTTGCAGGCATGACTTGTATGTTATAAGAATGGAGAAGAAAGAAAAAGACCCCTTGTGGACTTATCTAAAGAGCATATCTTTTAATCAGACACGAACTATCCCGGGATATATGATACAATGTTAAAATTGATGTAATATCTGCTCTGGCCAACTTCGGATCTTACAAATTTGTATACTTTCTGAAACACTCTGGAAAATTATCAAAATGTTCTGAATACTAATGCTACTGAATACTCATGTACGACAATGCAGATAAGAAACACTTTAAAATATTTGTCCGTCAGTCTTTGGGCGTAGGTTGAGCATACCAGATAAGGAGCAACTCGTTCGTAAGTACCCACATCGGCATATGGCAACTTGAATCACGTGCCATAAAAACCATTATCAGCAGCTAATAGAGTCAGAACAAATCCAAATGAACTTTTAGTTAGTCTGACGTGGCTAATCAACATTTTGCTTAGAGTATTTGTCTTATGAGCATTATTCAACTGTTTCCAATAAACAATAAATAGGTTAATATATATGCTTATCAAATCTCGTTTAAGCATGCGATTATTGACTGCAACCATAAATTAGCCATAACAATGGCAACATGTGTACAAGCAATTGAGCGTTGAGCAGGCAACAATGTTTCGCAACATGTGGGAACGACACTCGAAGCTCAATCAAACACGCTCGAACCTGGCG